CGGGCCGCGGGGACGGCCCGTCTGCGTGCGTCGCCGTGTCCCCGCACGGCACCGCCGCCCCCTTGCGTGCCGTGCTCGCTCCTGGGTTTTCGCCTCGTGTGCCTGCTTCCTCCCGTTTGCCATGTTCGCTGCTGCCCGAGTGTTTGCTCGTCGGTTCCTAGTAACTGCGGGATGTAAAACAAGCTGTGGGTGCCTCGTTGTTGCCCCAGGGCGCTTGCGGTTCACAAGGGAAGCGGAAATTCCCGTGTGAGCGCTATTCCGGGAGCTGGATTGCTGAGAAAACTCCTTGCTATTTCTAAGGCCTGATGCGGCGTGCAGAGCGTGTGCCTCTGCCTTAGGTCGCCACTCCTCAACACAACTGCTGTGGCAGGGACGTGGCCAACAAATTGTAGCATCTATCGTTAGTGACATTTCAACAGTGCTTTAACGTAGTGAATTATGTTAATTATCAGCATTAATGCAGTGAAATTCACCCTATGTGTTTACTCCCCCTCCCCCCCCAGTAATATGGCTAGACATATGAGATAAGAGTCAACTAACTTTATCATGTGCTCCCTGTAAGGATTCTTGAACTTGACTTTGGAAGAACTTTATCATGGAGCTTTTTTTCTTCATCTGAAAGTTACAGCAGTCATAAAGGAAGAAGCTGGAGAACTTACTGTCACCTAATCTAAACCATTTTCAGCAGTAACAGAGAAAACACAAAGGTAGAGGTAAACTGTTACTGGGAGGCAGAAAATAAATAGCCTGGCATTTATGCATATTGAATGAATGTACAAATGCAATATGGCACATCTTATATTTAACTAAATGGCTGCCTGAAATTGCAGGTACAGCCATCTCTTATCAAAATAGCTATCTGCTGTTCATTTCTCTCATTTAAGTTAGAATGCTCCCTAGATACCTTCATTTTGGAAAAAGTCTGGTGATTGCAGTCACAGATTCTGTCCTCAGTTACCACCGTTTCAGTTATTCTAGGGTCTGGGTAGGCTGTATTTTCATACTGGAATGGCAGCCACAGGAAACATAACCAAAATAAAAGCTTTAGTTGACCTAAGGAACACTGTATCATCAATGCAAGCTGCACAGCCCAGTTATGGACCCAGACAGCTTATTTGCTTGTGGTGGTGAATCCTCAGTGACATGAATTCTTGAACTGCTTCATTCAGTTGCCACCCTCAGCAGTCACATAGGTGCTGGATAAAGGTGCCTGCACGCCCCTCGCAAGCAACTCCACAGCAGCCAGTTTCAAACACCTCTCTCCTACCGTGGCGCAGAACACAAGGCTACCACAACCTGAACGACAGGAACAGAAACCAACACTGTCCAGAATGCTCTGGAGACTCAGCAGCTGCTGAAAGGTTTATTTGGGAAAACAACTCTGCTATAAAAGATCCCAGCTGCAGTAGCTGAGCACTCTAAACGGTAAAAGATGGGAGGGCTGGAGGGATGCATACTACGGACTGAACTGGGTCTTGGAGCCCCTGGCTGGATCTTACCGACCTAGATTCAGATTGGTACCCTACGCTGTAGTGACACCTCTGATATGAATATAGTCACTTCTGTGTGGGTGCGTGTTTAATTTTCTGTGAGAAACATTTCTTACAGTTCCTGTCAGGTTTTTGTTACATGTCAAGCTTATTATATCCTTAGTGTAGACAGCACATTAAGCTGTCTGTGCTACTACGTAAGCTATCATCCAAGACCACATCGTGTTAACATTTATAGTTTGTAACACCATTGCCATCATGACTGATGATTCTCCTTTGGTTGCAAACAGGGGTGGAGGTTACTTCAGTCGGGGCAGGGAGGAGAAAAGTCTGCAACTGTATCATATTTTTGGGAACGCACATTAAAATGAGACAGTGCTAATGAAATGGGCCACAATCTTGTCCTATCCAAACGTCCCTGAGCTACAAACCAAAACAGAAGTCAGCCAGCTAGGTCTAAGGACATATAGCTTGCAGGACTGTGAAAACCTTTATGGAAGGATCAGCTTTGATGCTGATTATTAATAGGATTTTTTTCAGAATCATGTTGCTGAAAAGGAAACTTCCAAAAAGAACTGTCATATGCAAAGTAATGTATTCAAAGAAGACATTGACTCAAAGTCACTAATGGTGAAAAGAAGCGCACTGAACTGATCTGAGTGTGACTGCTAATAGAACTGGGAAGTTAGACCACTAAAAGTGTATCTGGCAAGAATAAAATGTGGTCAATATCACAAGACAGACAGTACTCAGTTTTGATTTCATTTATTAATGCTGTCAATAAAACTTATGTGTTTGGTTAATAGGCTTTGCATACAGATTTCAGAGGAACTCCACAGCTCACAACTTACAATAAAAAAGCACTAGAATCTGAATATTTTTCCAGCCAGGTCTTAAAGACTCCACATACACTATTTAGATATTATCTGTTGATTGTGATTTTATCCTCACCACCACCATCCCGGTCTTCAAAGTTTTTCAGTTTTATTTTTCACTTGCTCCTGTCTTTGAGCAATTCAAGGGTACATATGTCTTCAGACTACTCATCAACTATGGTATTGCAGTTGACAACAAATAAAATCAACCATTAACAGAATCTCATATGTGAAGGCAAGAGTAAATTAGAAATGTAGTAATTATAATGCAGCCCAGAATATATTAGCAATAAATTGATAAATATGTGTCTTTTCAATATTTTACCATCAGTAATAAAATATATTTATAATCTGTCATTATTAGTAAGAATGTAAGTATTATACTAGCATTGTACTAGTTTAAAAAAAAATCTGTACGGTTACTGAAAAATTGCCTTTTTTCCTTCCTTATCTAGTAGCTGCACTGTCTCATTTGAGATCTGGATATTCTACTAAAGTGCAATTCCAAGACTTCATAATTATTATTAACATCAAACAGTATTAATCGGCAGAGACTGTATTAACTTTTGAACACAAGGCACAATAGATCCAGGTTCACATATTAACTATTCATAAATGCAGTGTTCATCACCATAAGTCATTTCACTTACAGATATGTTGCAGAGCTACAGAACAGAAACACCAGTTACGCATTTTCTTTCAAAAATATTCTTTTCAACACTTTTGTTTGAGTTGATTATATAGCCCAGATTTTTTTTTTCTTCAGATGACCTAATATTCCTACTCGGGGAAAAAATTATCACATGGGGAAAAGAGAATATGAGAAACTGCTAAAAAGAACTTCATTGTGATTACAGATTCAAATCATCACAGAATTTCAGAAAAAGGTGTAACTATGAAATTCAGATTTCTGTATTGTGCTAGCTATGGAGAAATGTAATTCCATGGGTCTCGTCACCACTGTTTGTTAAAAGCTATGCTTAAGTCACTTCTTTAAAAACAAAAATAAGCAACTTTCACTTTATTTATAATATTTTACCTTATATTTCAACTTATAAACTTATAAGTTATAAAAACTTATAAAATACAAAACTTTTATTTTATATATTTTTAAACTTATAAACTTATATTTTAACTTATATATTTTAACTTATCCCTTATCCTAAATTCTTTTCCAAAAAAAGTTTTGGTATCTGGACAAGAGCCTCTTCTAAAATTGACACTTCTTATGCTGAAAAAGGTGTAACTGAATGTTGTTTTGACAACATTTTCCTGCAAACATCTAATTGGACCTATGGCTACCCTTCTGGGCTGTTTCACCATGCCTGGGTTTGGTTGTACATCCTGCCCACCTACCACTTCCATAGCAGTCTGAGGCTTACACAGGCATGTATTATCCTCCTGCGCTCTGGTTTCCATGGAGAGGATTTCCACTGAAATCCTCTTATGTTCAGTGTAGCGTTGCCTTACGTTACACATTTCTTTTCCACTTCCTATTAGTCAGGTTTTAATTTCCATTACAGTCACATAAAGGCAAAGCAACTCCATTTCATTTCAGTGGAATTATCCTGGATTTACTATATCATAGCTTTGGTCAGAATTTGATCTTTTTTTTTTTTCCTGGATACACAAAATATTGGTCTGTCTCATACAGGTGTAGTTCTTCTCTGGCTCCCAGATTCGAATGTTTTTCATAATGTGAAAGCTGTAAAAATTATGTCATGATGGACCACATTTGCTACGAATCAGTGTTGTTTCCCAAACAATGAGATGAGACAAATGTTGTTTTAAAAATAAAAAACATAAAAATAACTGCCAGCATTTTCAGCTTTATTCAATCTCCTAATTTGTTGTACTGTACTATCACAGAAAATCTTAATTTGATATTGGTTCTGCTAAAGAGAAGGGTATTATCCAAATTTCTGATGATGCAGCTGAGAGCAGTATCTTGTGGAATGGCTCTGTCACGTGCTAGACTATTACTTGGTTTTGCCAGATTAATTTGTCACACCTTGCTTCATCTGTTACACATGAAATCAGTTCTTTAAACAAACACTAATCTGCTTTTCCATCTGGGTGGAAAAAATAACTTCTAACTAGCCTAACAGAAGGGCTGTATGCCATTGCCTACCCTACTCTCATGACTTAACCTGCTAGAAATGCAGAGTTTGGTCGATTTTTCCCAAGTGTCAGGATTAATGCACATCTCTGTGTCACCTGCATATACAGTAACACTCATCTTCCTCCAATTTAAGTGGAGTAACTAGGAATCATCAGAAAAATCCACCTGGTCCACAGTCTGCTTCCTTGATCCCCCCTCTGGAGAGATGGTGGACAGGAGCAGACTCTGTGCCAAACTAACTGTCTTGGTGCATATTTCACAGCCTATATGTAACTTCCTAAATGTAGTGAGTACATTGCATGCGATGAAGGAAGGAAACGCAACAATTTTGAAAGTTGTTCAACATACATTAGAACGTAAAAGGAACAACAGAAGGGAAAGATTAAAATAAATGCAAACATAGCAATGAATCCTATAGATTATCCCTCCTGGAGTAGCCATGTATTTTGTTCTTGCCTGTGTAGAACTAAATGTTTGGAATTCGTGTTTTCAAAATGGCAAAAGTACTTAGAAGTCAGATACTGTCTCTGACCTTTATTTCATCTCTTTACTGCATTCAGGAAGATGACATATCAATGGTGTGTTAACTGCACATTATTTGACTTTCTGAAAATTAATTATTTTTCAATACCTAATTAAATTTATTTCATACTCCAGACTTACTTGTTGGTAGATCAAAAACACTGATGGGGGCACAAAAGTATATTCTGGGGTCAGTTCTTTAAATTTTTAACTATATTTTGTCAAAGATTTAAAGTTACACATGCTGAAATAAATAGAATGGCAGCCATACAAATCACAGGGCTACCTTTCACAAAAGACAGGTTTCAAATTATTTTTCGAGTAATTACTGCTTATAACAACTTGATGAAAAACACAAAATCAGATAGCACATTGTCTTTGACAAAACTCCTAAGAAGGAGCTTATAAGAGGCATCATTACGAATCCTCAAAGTGAAAATCAATAGGTAGCATAAACCATTTGCTGAGATTTGAGAAAATGGCTGTCTTAAAAGCAAACCCTGTAAGGGGGAGACCAGTGAACCTGCTATGAGGACTGCTAGCTTTCATTTCATGCTCACTCACCCCTGATTTAGCTTTTTAGTGAAAGAAGTCCTCAAGGCCCTAACTTCATTTGCCAAATTACTGCAGCAAGTGTGTCATGACATGATAGTGCCCCGAACGGTTATATTGTAAGTTTGTGCTTGCCAGTTTACGTAGGACGCAAGCAGTGCTATAACCAGGTTACTGAAGTTCTGATGAGCTGGATTTTTCTAAGGTCATAATAATGTTAAATTAATTGGTTACAGCACCTCATGGTTTCATCTGTGAAGAAAGGCGTGGACGTGTTTAATGGGGACAATGTTCCGATTCCACTGACTAGTTCGGTAAATGCTCTTCATTTCAAATAGGAAAGAAATCACAGCGCCAGCACCCGTGGCTACGTCCATCCCCAAAACAGTCAAGATGAAATTACAGTACAGATAATCAATGACTAAGGCTACAACACAACTTGCTGGCTATGATTTTGCTAACACAGCTGGGCTATATAACAACAGCTTTTGTATTTTTTCCCCCTCATAATTTAACTTTCCCACCTGCCCCTAAAATAAAACTTGGCAACACAGAGAAAGCCAGTTAATTACCTCCCAGCTACTGCTATTTCACTTCTGCTACTGCTGTTGCTGGTTTTGCTCCCATGTTTTTAGAAGATCGGTTGCCAGCTGTGAGATGTGCTGCCAGGCAAACTTGACGTGGGTGGATTCCACTGTGCGGGAACAAATAGCAAAACGTAGCACAAACTTTTCTCGCAGGTGGCATGGGACCAGATGAATCTTCTTGGCCTCATTTATGCTTTTAAGCAGTGCCTTATTTAGTTCATTTGAGCCCTGAAATAATTGTAATTCAACAGATACAGTGATGAATTTCAGAAGCTAGTTTGGAATATGTAAATCCCACAAAGCAGCCAAGCCAATGTATCACTAGTAGTAACATGCAGCCGCTTTCTCCTCCCACAGCTCAAGTCTCTCAGTGCTTTGCTACCAAAGGATTATAAGATGATGGCTCAAAAGATGATTTTTCAGCCACAAAAAGATTTATGGATTAACTGTGGTTTAAAAGCAGTGTTCACACTGAGGCATTTGTGATAGCTGACAGCTTTTTCATGACCTAAGCACACGAGCTATGTTGCTTTATTTAAAAGCATCCATTATTGCATCCATTTCATTACACTTTTCTTAGATCTAATCAAACACCCATATGGGAGGCAGTTTTGCAATGAACTATACCAAACCTTTGTAAAACAAATCTTCAGTCTTCACTGAAGCGCGGCTCCCATTAGAGAGTCTTTTGACTATGAAGGTGGAAATCTTACCCTTAGTTAAGAAACAGTTGAAGGAATGTATCCCTGGCATAACGTCAGTAAAATGCAAGAATAAATCTGGTTCATACCGTCAGTAGAAACCCTAAAACAGTATTTGCCTCAAGTTCTATAGTAAGAGAGAACAGAGACTCCTCCACAGAGTCCTACCGAGTCTTTTCTTTGGGATTCTAGAAATGAGGCAAACAGCCCTCTCACTGCAAGTAAACATCATCCTTTTTCTGCATTCAGGGAAACAAAGGTATAAATGTTAAATATCTTGCAGAAGGTCAGAGCGACTCAACATGCATGCATTATTAAATTTCGACTCCTCCCGACATAGTCGGTCTGCTTTGTGCTCAAATACTAACTGTGAAGATTTCCTTTAGAGGAGCTATATGCTTTCAATATAAAATCCTAATAGAAACAGGACTGCACAGGAGAGTACTGATTCTACTGCAGATTCAGCTAACGTTGAATTCATGGCTTTCCCGATGCCTGTTTGTCAGCATTTGAGAATAAAACAAAACACGTCATCAGATGTCCAAAACAAGTAAATTGTTTTAAATGAAAACCTTACTTGAAAGAGTACAGGGTCTTGGAATTTTCGTCTGATTTCACAATGCAGGATAAAGTCCTAATCTTAGCGTATCTTAGTTTTTGTTACCCAAATTAGAGGAACCTGCCTGCCTAATTTTTATATCAGCAGACTGAAAGATGGCTTCAGCTTTTCTGGGCATTTTGCCGTGATAGCTTAGGACATACCACGTCAGTCTTGAATGCTATAATTTTACCCTTTACTCATTTCTGTTATGCTGCTGGTGACGTAGGATTGCAAGAGAGGCTGACAGCTCTGGTGTTCCCTTACTGAGCACCACAGTATGAGTGCCGCAAATGGACAAATCTCTCTGTAACACATTCAGCAGCTGTTTTGTTACTGTAATGGCCATAGGTCTTCTTGAAAACCTCCACACCAGAGTACATGGTTTCTCAAATCTGCACAGTTGTAGCTTACCTACTTAGCCTTTTCCATATGAAAAGAAAGCATAAAGGAGACACAGTTTCCCATTGGCACAGAGGATAAATGTATTCTTCCCCTGTTTTTGGATCATATTACAATTAGAAATGATCCCAAGTCAAATCATTTTTCTGACTTGGCACGAATTTTTAGGGAATTTGGATGAGGGTCTAAGCTAGCAGAACATATCCTTGCAACTTTTGTGAGAGTATCCTGAATGCTCCAACCTGAAAAAAAGGACCAACCTTCGTGGTTTACAATTTTTTTTTCCTGTTACAGGCCAACCTCTCATGACAGTAATATATTGCTTTCTTACTAAAGGTAATCCATTATTAAAATGACGATCCTTACCCTTAATGCTAAATGTGTAGCACTACCATTTAGGCAATACAAGCAGTTATATGATGTTAATTTAATGCCCTTGGCAGGGGTGAGTAGAGGAAGGAGAAAGGTTCATGCATCTTCTATTCCACTCTCACAGCTGCACCTAGGGGCTGCTGTGACACTCAGGTGTCACATCACATTGATGTTAGCAGTGACTAATCCTCTCTCAGAGCTTTGGGAAGCTAGCAGCCAGCTCTGAGTGAGTCTGTCAGTTTTAATAAGAAAGTGTTCTCATCTCCTTGGAGAAATGACTAGCTTGACTTGTATTCCTCTTCAGACATGACAGAGGAGCCCAAAGTTAACCCTCTGGCATGATACTGGATTCTTTCTTTGGCATTTGGTGAAATAGTTGTCATGAAAGTCAGAGATTATTAGTTATCTACTCAATAGCGTGAAAGACAAAAGAGTTAAAAGTAATAGCAAGTAAAAAAAGAGAAAAAAAAGATTTCTCAGGAACAAAAGGAGGAAAACTATTGCTACATTTCCATCCGTACAGCATTACAGTTCAAGTCCCCTGTCCCTCATTCCTACTGTAACTCTATAAAAGTTACAAGCATCCTACTTCTAAGGTGCATTTTAATATGAATTAAGGAAGTACAAGAAGATGCTTGAAAGAGCGATTTAAAAAGCAAATAAAGTTGCAGAAACGAATATAAACAACTATTCAGTTAAAAGCTTGTTGGTTTTGTTTTCTTTTTTTGGACAAGGAGATCAAGCAATGAAAACACTGCTGCTTCAACACAGGTGTTCAGAAGAATCCCATGTTTATTCCATAACTTATTCAAAAGTTTCTTAACTAAGTATCCAGCATTTACCTT